ACCTGTTATGCAATTATGAATTTCTGAAAAGTATTCCTTGTCACAATTCTCACATCCAGTGGACAAACATAAAATGTCCTATAAATGAGCTACTCTTGCAGTTTTTCCTATTTCTCTCTTAAACAGGTGAGAAACCTCACAGATGTCATTTGTGTCCATTTGCATCTGCTTATGAGCGCCATCTGGAAGCCCACATGCGTTCTCATACTGGGGAAAAACCATACAAATGTGAGTTGTGTTCCTTCCGCTGCAGTGACCGAAGTAACCTGTCCCACCATCGAAGGCGCAAACATAAAATGGTACCAATTAAAGGTACCAGGTCTTCCTTAAGCAGTAAGAAAATGTGGGGGGTTTTACAAAAGAAAACAAGCAATCTGGGGTATAGCAGAAGAGCACTAATCAACTTAAGTCCACCTTCTATGGTGGTCCAGAAACCAGACTACCTTAATGATTTTACCCATGAGATCCCAAATATTCAGACTGACGCCTATGAAACTTTGGCAAAAACTACACCAACTGGTGGTCTGCCAAGGGACCCCCAAGAACTCATGGTTGACAACCCTTTGAATCAGCTTTCTACTTTAGCAGGACAGTTGTCCAGCTTGCCACCAGAAAACCAAAACCCTGCCTCCCCTGATGTAGTTCCCTGCCCTGATGAAAAGCCTTTCATGATTCAGCAGCCCTCTGCCCAAGCAGTAGTCTCTGCGGTGTCAGCAAGTATTCCTCAGAGCTCCTCCCCCACAAGCCCAGAACCTCGGCCATCGCATAGTCAGAGGAACTACAGCCCAGTGGCAGGGCCAAGCAGTGAACCAAGTGCCCACACCAGTACCCCCAGCATAGGAAACAGCCAGCCAAGCACTCCAGCTCCAACCCTGCCGGTCCAGGATCCTCAACTTCTACACCACTGCCAGCACTGTGATATGTACTTTGCAGATAATATCCTTTACACTATTCACATGGGATGCCATGGGTATGAAAATCCTTTTCAGTGTAATATATGTGGATGCAAATGTAAAAACAAGTATGATTTTGCCTGCCATTTTGCAAGAGGGCAACATAACCAGCACTGAACACAATCAATATCGTTCTCACTTGGTTTGGCTTTTTGGGGGTTTTGTAGTTTGGTCTTTAGTTTTGATCATCCCTAATAAGGTATCTGCTAATTTAAAATTTATACATTTTATTCATAAAATAGTAATTTGATAGTGAAAGGGGTTTTGTTAACTTTTCATAAAGTCTGGTCAGGGTTATTTATGCATTAGATAGGAGCATTGATATCTTTTTCATTTAGACATGTAAGAGTTGAAGTACAGCTGGGATCTTACAGGTGTTCAGTTTCCCACACTTGACCATGAGGACTCCCAGGGTTATCTGTACTCTTGATATATATAGATACTTCACACATATATTACAGCTAAATATTCTTTCTGCAATATTTCAAGATGGCACAATAAACTTCTCATAAAACCTTCACAACATTTCAGTGTTTGTAGAGAAACTGCCTTTAGATTTGCTCTTAATTAAAATGCTATTTTCATTCACTTAAGTTGAATTAGTTTCATTTCAACCAAAAACAGTACAGTTCTTTCAGTGTAATAAATTTTCTTCTTTGAGGGAAAATATAAACCAATTCTTTTCAAATTTAAATTATAAAAATGAAAGTCCTGGAAGTTGAAATTTGGGGATAAATTGAAAATTGTGTTTGCTATTGGAGATATTTGTTCATTTAATATCTAGTTTAAACATGTTAGCTTTTGATTGTTTTTATATGTGTATATATATTTCTAATTTTAAAGCCACAGGAAAATATGCCAGAGTGCTACATGCCTTTTTCAACCTGAATCTTTCATTTAAATTCTGCATTCAGCTGTTATTGGTGTCAGGTAAGACTGACAACCACACTGATAATCTTATTCTTCCTAGTCTTTGATGACCAAAGAGGAAGTGGGGTTCATCTATCTTATTAAGATGCTTCAAAACAATCTCCAAAGTTTCCTTTTCTGCCTTCTGCCAATAATTTCATAGAAAGGTGGGTAGAAAAACCCAGAAAAATGTGCTAATGAGGAGATAGCTATGAAAATGAGAACATGTCCAAACAGATCTGACTTTCCTCTGCAGAGCAGGCCATGGAAGGTACTTCCTGTGCGTCTTCATGGACAGTGACACTGGGATAGTGTCACCACAGTGGGAAAGGTAGAGAGTGAAAGTCAATACAAAGCACATTTAAATGTGACATTTAACTTGTTTATAATTAGAGGTTCATTTTACATAGGAAGCTGTTATTTTTGTATTGTGTAATAAGCTTACCCTGAAGAGAGCCTGGCAAACAATAAAACATTGTCACTTACTCTTGGTTTCTGTGTACTTTGCAAAATTTTCATTTTTAATTTGGTTAATATCTTAAAAAATATTTCTAATTGGCTTCTTAAAGAAATATCCTGTCAAGCATTTATTAACCAAAAAAAATGGCCTCTTACAGTAAATAAGAGGGAAAATTGATGGTGTCTACCCATTAAGCCCCAAGTGCCCTGTTTATGGATGTGCCCTCCTTCCCAGTGCTCAAAAGCCATTCAGAGGGTGCCTGTGCTTGCACAACCAGCGTTGGCTCATCCCAACTGCACTGTTAAAGCACAGCACAAAGACACTTTCTCTCGTGACTCTAACTTTCTAGTGATTTTTGTCTGTTGCTTACTCACTGGTTAGATTAATTTTAGTACAACACTTTCTAAATACATAACTCGTGTAGTGCTTATCAGTTGCCAGAAGGAAACAGGTTGTTGTTTGGAAATTTTGCTATTTTTGAAGTTTGATTCAACTAAAAGCAATACCCCCAAATAGAGAGTGAAAACTTCCCTAAAGAGGAAGAAGCCCAGTGTGGTGCTGCACACCTGTAGGCCCAGCTGTGTACAATCTTCCAGGCAGGAAGATTGTTAGACACAGGAGTTCCCTGCCAGGCTGGGCATCACTGCAGGTCTAAAAATCCAGACAACCTGAAAAAGTTCACCTTAAAGCCAGCTTTATCATCTTTACATTCTGGGCCAAACAGTGACATGTGCATTTTGTTTTCCTAACAACTAAAGATGAATTTTTTGAAAGTACATTTCACTTTAAATATGGAAAAAACTTTTCATAAGTACAAGCTAGAAGGGAAAATCCTAATTTTCTAATACCATAAAGAGCACAGTTGGTCTTCCAAAGGTGTTGATGCGTAAAGCTACAAATAAATGCACTAAAATTTTGAAGCAAATCTACCTTAGAAACTTTTTTGAAATTGTACTTTTAAAGATTTAGGATTTTGCTTAAATATTCTGAGTTAAATTCTGTATTAGGAAAGATGTTAGATTCTTTCCTTAAATACTAAATATGTTCCTCATTTTATTTTTAACCAAATGTTTTATAGAGATGAGTTGAGAAAAGTTTAACATGCACTATTTATAGTACTTTGCCATTAACAGGCAATGTTCTGAAACTAAATTTATTTTTGTTCAGTGAACGTAAGTTTAGATTTTTAAAGTTGGTAATTTATCTCCACTAATATTTTTTTAAGAAACTGTGAAGAGATTAATGGAATAATTTTATTTCAGATTTTACTAATGTAGTATGTAGCTACAACTTCTTGACATTCAAGTGAAGACTAGACTTTTATTTTGAAAATTTTCCATTGGGTAGTTCCAGTGCTGTTTCATTTTAGAAATGTGTTTGCCATTCATCTGCAGAATTGTTTGACAAAGGGAATATACTTAAACTGAAAAACAAAAAAATCAACAGAGGTAACTCTCTTTTAAATTTGCAAAAATACTTATCAAATGAAGAATTATTAGAAAATTTAAAGTTCCCTGCTAAAGATGTTTTCATTAGTCTTAGGGGGTAGGTATATGCTTTCTAGAACTTGTTTTTGTTGATGCCTGGATATATGGGACATGTTGTCTATATGAGGTGTAAATCTTGCATTACAGTTGTAAGGTACATTATATTGTTTAGGGATCAAGGAAGCAGTTTAATGTTGAAGTAACTATCTAGTATGTAGTTCCTATTGTGAATAATGCTTTGCTTTTGTAATATATTAATAAAAAACAACACTTTCTAATGACTTTGTTTTTTTAAAACTAGAATAAAATGGATTTTTTTTAGTAATTTGTGATACATGAAATATTAATAAAGGATTTTATGGCTGGCAAGTTTGAATTTCTAGAATCCATTACAGAAAGAAATACGAGTTTACAACAAAAGAGCTCTTTAGGTCTGAACTCATTTCTAGTTGTGGTTTGAATGAAAAATGTGCCCTTCCATTTGAACATTTGGTCCCCAGTTGGTTCCATTATTTCAGAAGGTTTTGTAGAACCTTGGGGATGTGGTGCTTACTTGGAGGAAGTGGTTGCGGGGGCAGGCCTTGAAGGTCTTATCTGCTCTGATTCTGGTCTAGAATCTGCTTCCTTGTCCACAGTGTGAGAAACAACAGCCACAAACTTCTATCACTGTGCACGAAGCCAGTCCAGCGGCCATGCCTTCCCCACCCGATGTACACCTCTGAAAGCTGTGAGCTCAGATAGATTACTCCTCCTTCAAGTGGTTTTCTGCCAGGTATTTTGTCACAGTTGTATGTCTAAGACAGTCCTCTTTATTCAAGTCAGTTTAACCTGCTTTACCCTACAGTCCGGGCACATCAGTAAGGAAGGCTGCTTTTTTTGGGGGGGTTTTCGAGACAGGGTTTCTCTGTGGTTTTGGAGCCTGTCCTGGAACTAGCTCTTGTAGACCAGGCTGGTCTCGAACTCACAGAGATCTGCCTGCCTCTGCCTCCCGAATGCTGGGATTAAAGGTGTGCGCCACCACTGCCCTGCAAGGCTGCCTTTCTTATATCAGTTATCTGCGTCACATTTGGCAAGTAGTTCTCTGAAATAATTTCTGGCATGTAAAGTAGAACTTTGAAATTAGACATTTTGAGGTTTTTTTTTTTTATGTTCAGTATGGTCTTTGGCAGTTTACAATATTGGTCTAGAAAACACCCAGTCATACAAAATTGTTTGCAAAAGTTTACCCAAGTCAGGAGTCTGATTAGAAATTCAGAAAGTTTAATGTTGCTTTGAAAAATACTTCTGCACAACGGTATCTCTCTCATCACAAAAAGAAGAAATAATATCTGATAAGTCAGTGGTTTGCTGAAAGCACAGATATCGTCTGTTTCCTTGTCGTAGATCTTCCAAAAAATCTGCTTTGAGCTTGTTAAGGTCTTCTGCTAGACGCTTCAAGTTATTAAGAGGTATTTTCTCATCTAAAATAAAAGATATTCTCAGGTTATTTCTGTAAGTCAGTTTGGGCTGCCTATTGCCATCTGATTACATCAAACAGGCCAGATTCTCCAATAAACAATTAGGTGCATTGTAATAATTAATGGACAAGAAATAACATTAATATGATCTAGCAAAGTCATCTAAAGCAAGGGCCACAAGCAGTTTAAGTAGCTACTCTGGTGTATGAGCCGAAGACAAACACAAAAGGATATATATTTTTAAGGTTTTATTTATTTTTATATTATATATTTGAATGTTTTTCCTGCATGTATATATGAGCATCCTACCATGCCTAATACTCATAAAGGCTAGAAGAGGGCATAAGATCTATTATCGATGAGTTATCGATGAGCCGCCACATCAGTGCTGGGAACCAAACACAGGTCTGCGAAGAACACAAGTGCTCTTAACTACAGACCCATCTCTAGCCCCCTGAAAAGACTTCCTTCCTTCCTTCCTTCTTTCTTTCTTTCTTTCTTCCTTTCTTCCTTTCTTCCTTCCTTCCTTTCTTTCTTTCTTTCTTTCTTTCTCTCTCTCTCTTTTCTTTTTTCTTTTTTGAGACAGATTCTCACTCTGTAGCACTGGCTGGTCTGGAATTCACTATGTAGATCAACCTGACCCTAAACTCATATAGCTGGCATCCTTCTGTCTCTTAAGTGCCAGGATTAAAGGCTTGCAATGCCACACTGGACTTTTTGAGCCAGGATACCTCTTTTCCATCTTTTGCTTTGAAAAATAAAATGACAATTTGGTTTTTTGAAGCTGATAAATAATACATTTGAACAGCTGTCCCAAGTAACTTTTCTATGATGATGGAAATGTGCCACCAGGCACTGCCATATGGGTAGTGTTACTGAGCATCTGAAATTAGCTTTATTGAGATATAACTTACCATAAGTGTATCAGTGTAAAATGTGATGGTTTAGCTTGCATAGTGGCACACTCTTTTAATCCCAGCACTGGGGAGGCAGAGGCAGGTAGAGCTGTGAGTTCAAGCCAGCCTGGTCCACAGTGAGTTCCACGACAGCCTGAGGTACCCTGTCTATAGACTACTCACATATGTGCAGTCACCAGCATAGTTAGTTTTACAACACTTTCGCAGCTTAAAAGCAACCTGTATCCCTGACAGTTGCCCTTCCTAATCTACCGCTAATCCTTCTGCTGTGATTTCCAGCTCTATGATGTTCATATGACCTCTTCCAGTTGGGATGTTCTCAAGGATCCCCCCGTTCTCTCCGGGCCAGTATTCTAGTTCTTTTTGTAGCCACACAACATTCTTGTATGGGTGACCTCATTGTATTTCTCCATTTATAAGGTGATGGGCTGCTGGGTTGTTTCTACCTTTTGACTGTTATGAATAGTTCTGCTGTAAACAGGCATTGTATCAACATTAAGTTTTCATCTCTCTCAAACCTATCACCATGGAGCAGAATAGCTGGGCCACGTGGTAACACATTAGAAGAACTGCCTGGCTGTTTCCAAAGCAGCTGTGCATCATTCTGTATTTCCACCAGTAGGGTGTGAGGGCTCTGATTTGTCCACAACTCCATCAAATCTTGGACCTTCTCATTTTGGCCATTCTAATGGCTGTGGAGTGGTCTATCCTATGGTTTTGATTTGTATTTTGCTGTTCACTAAATTTTAACATGTCTTCATTTGAAGTTGATATTTCTGTATCTCCCTTGGGAGAAAGATGTCTATTTAGATATTTGTCCATTTTAAGATTGGGTTACTTGTGTTACTGCATAGTAAAGAGTTCTCTATATATTTATATTTATATATTCAGGTTTCTCATGAAATATTTGCAAGTGTTTTATCCCATATGTGGGCTGTCATCTCACTTTCTTGATGGCAGAGAAATTCAATTTTTAGTTTTATTCAGGCACACATCTAGAAACTAGTACCACTCCTCTCCCCTCCAGAAGAGCCTGCATTCTCCAAGAGGCAAATGGCTGAGGAAAAAACTGAATGGTTTCTGCTTTGTTCTAATTACGCTGCCATTTCTGTTCCAATCCTGTTAGAAGTTTTTGATTGTAATTCATTAATGAGTGGCAATGGGTATTCTAAAATGAGAAAATAAAACATTCCATTAAGTATGAGGATGTGTTTGTGAAACTTGTTTCCACACGTGCCTCCGTTTACACACTATATCACACACAGTTGGTACAGTTAACACTCTGTCCCTTTCGGTGTCCTCAGCTGTTATGAAGGTAACGGTAAAGGCGGGGTGTATAACAACGGACTGGAATCAGAATTAACCTCATCTCAGGTTGCCCTCAAATTTAGCAGCCTCTTCAGCCTTGGGAAAGTTACTTGATTCACTGTGAATCTCCATTTTTTTTCTCATTTATAAAATTACACCAACCTTACATGATTGTAAAGGGTAGCATATCAAATGAGTTAAATGTTAGCTGTTCTTTTCTTTTTAAAACAAATTTTAAACATAGTGTGGAGTTAAAAATTCAAAACTTAAAACAATATTGAAAAGCTATACTTACCACATATCTGAAACATTATTTTTTTAAAAAATACTATTCCTATTTATAATAAGTGACCTTGTTCAAATTCCATGCTTGTCTGACCCCTAACCCTGAAGTACCTTTAACCTCTCCAGCACCCTAATTACTCTTAAAATTACTTAAAATTTTAAATACTTAAATCTTAAAATACTTAAAATTATTCTTTAGGGGACTGACATATATATATTCATATAATTAATTACCTTTTTGTCTGTCTCCTCACTAAAATATTCTGCTTCCTATTGATTCCCTGGTATCTAAGGAAAAATTTAGTGAAAAAAAAAGACCACTCAATAAAAATGACTGAAATGGATAAATACCCAGTTCCAGGGATCGTCTAGCTGTGTAACCATACAGCAGCTGTTAAACTGAAATGTGGATCCTAAGCTCTGGTGTCAAGGAAGTGGCAGCAACAGAGAGCACCCCAGCCACTAAAGAACCAGACCGCATACCTTTGGCTTCCTTCATTGTCTGAGAGATGGTTCTGCGGAGTGTTTCATCAGCTTGATGGAGGATGTTAGTAGAACAAATAATTCTGTCTGTTTCCTGTGTAATATAGACACTGTTACTGGGAATAGTTTATAAAATAAATGACCAAGGTCTACACTCATTTGAAAGGACCAAAAGATAAGCCACAGTGGCTTTTCTGTTTTGTTTTTTTTTTCCTCGTAGAAGATCCAAATAAATGTCCAGTTGTAAAGTTGCTGGTGAGTGTGTAATAACTGGCTTTCTAGAAAGAAAAACTTCCTCCAACCTATATGTAGTGTTTCTGTGCTTTGATGGTGTAAATACTTCCATCACTGTCTGCTTTTAGTCACCAAATGTAAGGTTCCAGCATTTCTGAACATTTACCACGGGGCTTTGACCAGCAGGCACAGGCCCTCAGCAGCTCACCGACTGGATGTCAGAAGCCAGAGGCGGGTGCAGTGCCATCCTGCTAACAGTCTGCCTTTCACTTTTCTCTTGCTATCAGCTCAAAATGTCTCCCTGCAAAAAAGCTATTCCTTCTCATTTGCACCAAGTCTAACTGGCGTATTTACCTTTTGTTCCGTATTGTCCTCAACACATTTTATGGGATTTTCCAAAGCAGTAAGCAACAAATCAGTCACCTCCAGGCTACAGAGAAAGTGAGATACAGTATAATCAATCTTTCTATAAAACATTTGCTTTTTAAAGAACCTGCATTAATAAAACTATATAGCATGCAGAAGAGCAAAACTGTCATTCAGGTCCTTATTGAAAGGGAATAAACGTAGTGATTTGGAAGCCATCTTCCATTTGTAAAATATTAAGTGAAACTCAAATTAGAAACCATTTCTACCTCATAAAAGGCTAATTTACATCCTGGACTATAGGCTTTTAAAACTATTATAGTCCCTAGAGAAAGATATTGTTTACTTCTGGCTTCTGCTTATTTACTAAAATAAGGACTAACAAATTTCCTCATTTGCCAAGGGTCCCTAGAGAACTCAGAATTCATTCATTCAGTAAATATATATTGAATATCTCATATGCAAACATTGGAAAGCTACATTTGTGAAACTGCTAATCTAGGGGTATAACATAATGCCCAAGCACTCTACTCCTGAAAATGGAATGGACTGCGACAGGTAAACCACTGAGCACAAATGTAACCCTGGACAGTGTTAAGTGGCTATGTGAGGACAACAGAGTGATTGTGCTGAGAGACTGGGTAGTCAGATAGCCATTACTCACTCCAGTTAGATGGCTGAGCCAGGCAGTTAGCGCAAACTGGACCACAAACACCAGGGCCCAAGAAGAACAAGCTTTTTGTGCCCAGAGCATAGGAAGCTGGTTTGGGGTGGTGGCAGGATGATTATTAGGACATGTAAGTCTTAAGAAGAAGTTGGGTTTTACTTAGAGTACAGGGGCCAGGGGTGAAGTTATAAGCCAAGTGAGTGTACAATGTAACATCTCTACCTTGATCCTTCTCATTTGGAGTTCAGGCTCTAGAATGTGACTGCGCTGGGTCCCATAGTTCTGCCACTTGCTTTCTGGGCAGGTTACTTGATTTATCTGGGCCTTAGTTATCCCAGCATAAAATGAAATTTTTATGCAATTTTTTTTTACCCTTCAAGGGTTGTGAAGATGGAATAACACTGTACAGTGTCCAGAAGCACAGCCAGTATGTGTATGTACCAAGTAGTTACGATTATTTTATAAGCCAGGATAAGTTACATTTATATTACCTCTCAGTTTGTATTTTTCAAACTCTACACTTGACACTAACCCCAGTCAGTTGCCCTGGGGCTATTGCATAGGTACAAGTGACCAAGTTCATAAGATCTGGGGCAAAACTGCAAATTACAGTAAGGGCTGAAAGTAACGACAGAAGCCCACACTCTGCTGGCCTGCGTCTCACTGACGTCAAGGAAGTGAAGATCAACTGATACCATTCGAACAGTACCTCAAGCAGCCACTTACTGCCAGAGGAAGAATATATACAGGTGCCCCAGAAAAGACAGCAATCCATTGATTGCTACCTACCTACAATCGCAGAAATTGGGAGGCTGAAGCAGGATCATGAGTTCGGGACCAGCCTGGGCTACATTCTGAGACCCTGTTTTAGAAAACTGGAAACCTCGCCAGTGGCTTATTTCCTCAACTGTATAAACAATAGTAATCTAAGTGCTAGTTCTGTTTTGTTTTGGGTATGTGAAATTTATAAACTATATAGAAACCATACAGAGAAATCTGTCCAAGGAATGAATCTGTCTTAAAGCCAGCATGACACAATATCCCTAAAGGTGCAACAGTAGCAGTAACTTGGCAGTAACCAACAGCTGTCTAACTGGACTTAAGTTCCACTCAACAGGAAGGAAATCATGCCTGGTACTGGAAACCTGGGGCTGGTGAGGCTATGGATCTTAGACGAGAACCTGCTGCTACCATTTTAGTAAAAGAGCATAGTTTCCCAACAGCATTCTAGATTCTTATCCTTATTCTCACACACAAGTGCAGCTTTCACCCCGCATCACAGAAGTTCCTCTTTCCAGCCAATGGAGACCAACAAGAGCAACTTGTTGTCTGGCCTCAGTGGATACATCTACAACACAATTCCTGTACTCAGGGTTCAGGTAACATAGAAGAGGAGACAGAAAGATCCTAAGAGCCAGTGGACCAGAAAATGTGATGTGAGATTATGTCTCCTAGCAATGACAGAGAAGCCACACCCATGATTATCTCAACAATTTACCTGCTCAAATAAAAATCTGAACTATGACAACACCCTCACTTGGAAGGGGGAATTCTTATGGGACCTGTCCCTAGACAAAGAACTATAGGCAGCTAATGATTGCTGAGAAAGAGAGAATGAGAATTAATCTTCCCTAGGGATGAGCCCCCTAATTCCATACCAAGTTGTGAGCCTTGAAATCACATACATACAATCAACACTAAACAGACTCAGCAAGTTGTATTTATATACTGTGTGTATAAATATATATAATATAAATATATTTATCATTTATTATATAAATATACACACATATATGTACATGTGACAATAATAAGCCATAAATTTGAGAAGCAATGGGGGGAAGCAATGGGGAGGGAAGTGAGGAAATTTCAAATATATAAACATATATATATGTATATATAAAACCAAACTTAAAAATTAAACTAAAAAATGCACAATGTATCTTAAGATCTACACTATTCAACAGCACAGTTTGTAGCCATGTGAGGCTATATTAAATTGACTAAAAACTCAGCTATTCAATTGCATTAGATACAGTTAAACGTTTGATAACACTCATGACTAGCTGCTCCCATACTAGACAGCAGAAAATATTTCTATCATTCATTAAATTTCTAAGAGAAATATACTGCTCCAAAGTTCTCCAGACATATTGCCAATGGAAACCAAGTCCCCAGAGTCTGCAAGCTTCACAAACACACGGGCAGGGTAACCATTAAAAACCCCTTGTTAGTTTCATTACAACTTAAAACTTTTTGGGAGTACTAGATTTCACGCTATGGCTTAGCACAAGCTATGCAGGTGCTTGACCACTGAGCTGTACCTCTAGCTCAGATCTATAGGAAAACACTTCACAACCTATTTAGGCAACTTTAACAAGACTACCAAAAGACAGGGCTTCTACCTAGACTGTCTGGTCAGCAAGCCCCACCCAGTGCTGGGACCACAGACATGAGTAGCTATGCCCCACTTTATCAGTGCTGGGGATCTGAGTTCAGGTCCAGTGCACCAAGCCCTTTACCCCACTGGGGTATCTCCCCAGCCTGAGACATTACAACTTGAACAGTTAAAAGCAGACATTTATAAAGAGACTTGGATTCAAATCTCAGCTGTCGTCAGTTTAGCTTCTTCCTCCACACAACTCCCCAAGGCCTGTGGGCAAATGGCCAGTCCCACACAGTTAAGCATGTTTTACAGGGTACCCACGGGTGAACACTAAGATGATGTAGAGTAGGCTACCTGGCCTCCAAGGAACATGATGAACTCTGAATTACGAGGCTGTTGTGTTCCCAGGCATTTTTCTCACTGTTGGGCTTTTCTATCTTTCTCTCCATGAGGCGGATGGTCTCATTAGGCAGTGGCTGGGGTCTCTGGCCGTTCCTCAGCAAACATGTTTCCAGGGGACAATCTAAAAAGAGCTGGCAAAAGCCCAGTGAATCTGAAAACAGGTTTAAAATCACCAAATTACTGACCTGTCTCAAGAAATGTGAAATAAATATATACTAGTCCCACATGAAGCAGGGAAAATTCCATTTGCAATACTGAAAAGCCACTTTAAAAATTAAATCCATATAGACCTAATTCAATTAAATGGTCACTAAAGGCAGCTGTGATTTCATATATGTGAATCGATGTTTCCATGTATAAAAAAAAAAGTCTTAATTACATTTCCGAGCCAGTTGGTAGACTTCATATCTCATACTTTGGTAATAAAAGTTGTCATCTAACACCAAAAACAAACGTCTAGAAGCAGCAGTTTTTGCCAAGAGCTGGCAAGGCTGAGCCTCATGTGCTGCAGAAAAGATCAAATCCTGTTTTTTTAAGCAAGTTATAAAATCTTCCCACATGGTTTCAGTCCTGTTGGGTGGGGCAGACATCTGACCCCCACTAATGACCGCGACGAGGAAACATTCCAGGTGCTTTAACAGTTCTTGCCGAAACATTTTCCACTGGGATGGCTACAAAACAACAACAAAGAATTGAAATTTATTTTAGGCTTTAGCCAACAGGCTGGTCATCTTGTTTTATTGCCACCCTGACCACGTTTAAAATTTCAGCCCACAGTACTGAGACATTGGAAGTTCTCAACAGACACCTTGTTTCTTACACCTTCCTGTCTTCATAGATCCTGCACCCTCTGCCTGGAATATCCCCAGTGCCGCCAGAGCTGTGTGAAGCCTTCTCAGACTCTACCATGAAGAAGGCAATGCGGCCCCGTTCTTTACACTGTCCCTACTCTGTCGGGGCTTCCATCAGTTATCTCTATCTAGATATATCACCTTCATAGCGCTCCCCGCTAGATCACGTGGCCTCCAGCAGAGGCTGGCAGGTGTTCCAGAAATGGATGTTCAGTGAATGAATGAGGGAGTGAGCCCTTTACCACACAGGAGAACAAAGGAGCCAAAATCAATATCCTGCTGAACTAAAACAACCTAAGATGTAACAATGTTGGTTTGTCCTTGAAATGAAAAGGGGTACCAACCGCTAGGTAAGTCAGTTGAAGGTCCTCAACTCACAGCAACTGGACTGTGAGATTGGGAAAGCTGGCAGGAACAGATAGGGGGAGGAAATAAGGAGCCTGAGAATACACGTGATCTTGTTTTGTGAGAGGTGGTGGGGAACACTGTAGTTCTGAAGTCAAGGCTGGAGGAAATACAGAAGGACCGGAGAGGAATCCTTCTCCTGCCTTGTCCACATGCAAGCACACCAGACAGACCCACTGAGAAGGAAATCTGTGCCACTTCCTACAGGATGGAGACTTTCTAATCGCAGTGATCAAGAGGGGGAGTTCTATTCACAGTAATAAGGTGAAGGAAAAATAATCCAGATGAGTAACTTTTATCTTTATCCAAAGCGGCGAGAGTACTATATACAAGTAACTCTCAATTACAATACTGCTCCCTGTCCCCACACTCAAAACTGAAGCAGCAGACAAATTCTGGAGAAATCTAGCAGTTTTTTCACCTAATGAATACATGTATCTTTGTATATTTATCTTTGTACATACATACAGAATGGAGTCATCCTATTTGCCTTTAATTCATGTGACACTCAAGCACTAACCATCACATGTAACAATTCAAGATTTCAGAAGATTCCAGAAGCCATTGCTATAGAGTAAGTATGCAAGTGGAGACTGGACCCTTCTCCACACGGTCTCCTTCCGTGTACATCTACCAGGGGTGCACCTCACTGGGATCTAAGTGCAGGGATTAATAAGTATATCCGTGGGGCACACAATTCAAGTCTATTACTATGTTTGGCTGTCAACCCAGAAAGCACCACCTTTTCCAATACTAGTGGCAGACCAACCCTGGAGGGACCTAGAAATTTGTCAATTATCACTTTTGTTCTTTATACTCATTGGAAGTTCCAAAATGGTACAACTACCCAAGGGATTGTTATCCAGAGGTATCTGACTAGGACATCCACCTTGTAAACTATGCCATAGGATTTGGAGGTGGCACCTGTAAGTCCCAGATACAGTAAGAGGCGGGGCCAGAATGATCCTTGAGCCTTGGAGTTTGGGATCAACCCGTACAACATAGTTAGGCCTTATCTTAAGCGCCACTGCATAGAATAAGCAATATGTGAACGGCCCAAACTTGCATAAAACCTCTACAAAGCATGGCCCTCAGCGCTATACAGTATTATTCCAAGCACAGGTCTACGTCTCCTAGACACGACCTAACCAGCTCCCTTCGTCTCGATCAGGCTTCCCCTCCTACACTGGCACTGCTGAGTCGGGATCCAGGGCGGCTCGCTGTCATCAGCCCACAGCCCCACTGCTTCTGCCGGGACTGCACACCCGCCCGCCCCCTCTCGGTGCTGACCCGAGGTTGTGTGCTAACGTCATCCGGGAGCGCGGGGGGCAGCACATCGTCGTAGGAGAGGACGCCCACTGCCCAGCTCCGCTCCTGCCGCAGCCGGAGGGCCAGCGCACGAGCGAAGGTCGACTTTCCGGCCGCCGGCAAGCCGCAGAGGACGCACAGTGCCAGCTTCGGCCGCCCGTCAACGCTGACCTCCCCAGCCGCCGCTGCAGTCTTCATGTCTTCCGCTGCGGCCTGCAGAAACCTTTGCGCCTGCTGCGCACGCGCTGTGCACCAGCACCATGCTACGCCCTCTGGCGACAATGGAGGAACAAGCGGGCCCGGAAAGGATGCCTTTGTCCAGGCGCCTTCTGGACCAAGTGAAGCACTGGTGTCAGCTGTCCCTAACTCCAGTACCCCAGGCCCGGGAGGCATCGGCTCTTCTTTTCGTACTTTCTGGACACTCTTAAAGGACCCCTGAGTTAGATTTACTACCAATAGAATCATCCTTCTTGCCCCACCTTCAAGCCATTAGGGCTTTGCATTTTGGTTTGGTTACAATGAGGTTTCTCTGTCCAGGAAAATCTCAGGAGACTTGAAACTTCTTAAGGAAGGCTCTGAGGGTAAAGAGCGGGAAGACAGACAGCAGGAGGCGAAGCGAGGACAGCCTATTTTCTGCCTTTCCTGAGCTTGATAAGAGCAAGGGTTGAGTATTCGTCATTGAGTCTTGGTGCCGCCAGGCGGCAGCAAGGGAGAAGAAATAAAGACAGGAAACACACATCCTTAGATTTTACCTCCAACACATGCAGGAAGAGAAAGAACATAGGGATTATAGATAGATTTTAAAAAACAAAGGTAGCGAGCTGGGAGTTGGGACACAAGCCCATCATCCCAGCCCTTGAAAGGCAGACGCAGGAGGGGCAAGTGTTCGAGATATTCTACATGAGACCCTCTCTCAAACTCCTTAACCCTCCTAAAACAACACAAACCACCAAGAACTACCAAAGAAGGAAAATGTTGTGTGTGTGGTGTAAGAAATACTGAATTCAGTCCGGTGCTCCAATGTGGGTCTCTGTCTCCTTTCATTACCTGATGAAGGTTAATCTCCAGGAGGATGACTATATGTTTTTCTTTGGGTTCACCTTCTTATTTAGCTTCTCTAGGATCACGAATTATAGGCTCAATGTCCTTTATTTATGGCTAGAAACCAATTATGAGTAAGTACATCCCATGTTCCTCTTTTTGGATCTGGCTTACCTCACTCCCAAGGTCCAAATCAGGAGCAGAAGGGGAGAGAGCACAAGCAAGGAACTCAGGACCACGAGGGGTGCACCCACACACTGAGACAATGGGGATGTTCTATCGGGAACTCACCAAGGCCAGCTGGACTGGGTCTGAAAAAGCATGGGATAAAACCGAACTTGCTGAACATAGCGGACAATGAGGACTGCTGAGAACTCAAGAACAATGGCAATGGGTTTTGATCCTACTGCACGTACTGGCTTTGTGGGAGCCTAGGCTGTTTGGATGCTCACCTTACTAGACCTGGTAGGAGGTGGGAGGTCCTTGGACTTCTCACAGGGCAGGGAACCCTGACTGCTCTTTGGGCTGATGAGGGAGGGGGAGTTGATTAGGGGAGGGGGAGGGAAATGGGAGGCGGTGGCGGGGAGGAGGCAGAAATCTTTAATAAATAAATAAAAAAAAAAGAAAAAAAAAGAAATACTGAATTCAGAATTATTTGAGCTGCTTCCCCATCTTGGCTGCTTTTTATAGGGGTATCAACAAAACGTCATCCTTGATTCCTTCTTTCCACTCCTTTTACGTCCCATCAGTTCCCGGCAGGTAACCAATGAATTTGTGACCGGTGAGGGGAGGAGGGAGGGTACGTAGAGCTATGTGGTTCTAGGCAAGAGGGAAATTATTTTCCTATAACCACCTTGTTGGCACGTACACTCCCGGGTAAAAGGCAGGTGTATTTAGCCACTAAAATCTCACTACTTAATGAATACCTTTCAAATATGTGTTGATTCATATTCTGAAGGCAGTTTTTGTTTGTTTGTTTTATTGCTATTGCCAAGTTTAGTGTCTAACTTGTGGGCTTAAGGGATCCTTCCACCTGTCTCCCAAGTAGCTAGGGATAACAGGCATGTGTCACCATGCCCCAGTGAGCACAGATTTGAAATAGTCTCTTAGAGGGCATGAGTTCTTCTGTATCAATAAATTATTGTGATAAAGCTGCTATCTCTAACAAGTCCACATAGTAGAATTGTTCTTAACTTCCCAAGCACAAAACAATTCCTTATCAGCAAGCATGTAGCTGGAAGGGGAAGCAAATATGGAAACTGGCCAAGCCTGGGACTACAAGTCTTTCACAGGTTGAAATGCAGCAGAGAAATCAAGTCCATTCTACAACAGAGATTCAAGCTTGGCTATGAATGATAAAGGCTTTTTTGTTTTTGTTTTTGTCAAAACTACTGGAATGAAATAGTATTCTGGGAGGAGGAGACTGGGAGGAAGGTGGGATCAGAGTTCACCAGGCGTGGTGATGCCGGCTCGGTCAGCAGCATCAGTCATCAGAAGCGACAGAGGGCAGAGGGCAGAGCAGAGGAAGATCTGGAGGGGATGAGATAGGCTCCTGGCTCGGAAAGAAAAGTCCAGGACGGTTCAGATGAAGGTAGTGCCTCAACACATGACAAGCAGAGATGAAGAAAGGTAACAGCTTTGGAGGAAATGAAGAAATGGTGATTTATTGGCAGGAGTCTTTTTGACAAGTGTCTTTAGTTTTCTGATTCATTAGCCTTATTTAAGGAAGTAAAAATCCACACGGTATTAATCTTGTGTACAAAATTGCAAGTTAGTGTTTCTAGAGTATACTTCCCTTTGGAATGTCTACAGATAATAACCTAAGTCATGACCAGAGGAAGCAGGAAATAGTGTGACAGGCCAAGACAATGCAGAGGTTCCTTCATCTTGTACTCCTGCTGAGGCCAGTTCCAGGTACAATCTGATCTTGACACCAGGGAATCCCACAGAAAACTACCCAACTCTATTTATTCTAGAGACCAAAGGTCAGAAGGTCCTAGTTAACTTATCTTAGCTTTCCTCGAAACCGCTTGTTTGTGCGAAACCTCCACCAACTAACCATTCACCTTAGCTGCCTGTTTGTGCGGAACCCTCGGATAGCTAAATGCTTATCTCAGCTTCTGTTAAACCTGCTTATGCTGCAAAGTCCCCTGCAGCTGCCGAGTCAGATGCCTCAACTTTCAGGTTTCTACCCTTGAAAACCTGTGTTCTGGACACTCGGGGCCACACCTTGGTCCCCCAAGTGTTCCAGTTGGCTGGAACAAATACTTTGAATCCTGTGACATACAGAAGAGAAATGATGACAATTTAGAATGTGCGAGTTTTACAAAATCTTCATATACTGGGTCTTTGAACATTAAAGGTTGCAATTTCTGGATTTTGTTTCTATTGGTCTTTGATCTTCTTCTTCCTCCTCCTCCTTCTTCTATCTTTTTTTTTTTGTTTTTGTTTTTGTTTTTGTTTTTCGAGACAGGGTTTCTCTGTGGCTTTGGAGCCTGTCCTGGAACTAGCTCTTGTAGATCAGGCTGGCCTCGAACTCACAGAGATCCACCTGCCTCTGCCTCCCAGGTCTTTGATTTTTCTTTCAAACTTGATGAACGCCCTTTACATACACCCTGGTGACTGCCTATAGAAAATTACACTCAACCATCTTTTTCTTGCCAGAAGACACATACATTTTTGGACAGGGTTATACATGCAGACTAAAGAGGAAATTAAAGGAAAGCCTTTTTTTCTGAGTGATGAACTCTAAGTTCTGAGACAAAACTAGGTTATGGGTGAATAAAACTATTCTCCAGAGACTGTATGGCCTCAAACACAACTTTGAAATTCGGGTATTCCACATTTCTTTGTAGACATTTTAACATCTTTTGGGTGGGCAAGAAAATTCGTCTATAACCCCAACGATGTTAAAATTATCTACACAAGACACTTTAGAAAGCCACCGGAGGCAGACAATACCTAGCTTGCTTTCCTGCGGGTTCTATAAAGTTTCAAGTCCCACTTGTTCCCACAGAAAGCTTGAGTGTAGAATCTATTTCCGCAGACACCGAGGCCCATTGCCATTTCTTGTCAAGGCCAAGAGTGCAGAACATTAAAGTACAGTCTAGGCTTTGTGTCCTCTGGACGTTTCCTAACCTTAAGAATTCTGCCACTTAGGACGTGCACACCATGTTCCAGCTCATTCCTGAGGCCCAGGAGCCTGATCTTTGTGCCACCATCGGTTCAGCTGTTTAATGCCTTCTGTCACCCAATAGTATTCTGCGGTGTTAAACACCGAGCTCCACACTTTCCTCCACAGCCCATTGGGGTGACGTGCGGAGTGGAATAACACCATCAACCTTGGTCTCATTGCACCAAATGCGGCCCGGGTAGCATATACTCCACAGGCTGGCGTAAGGAAGGGCCCTGCGTCCTCTCCCGAGGTCCTCAGATTGAGAGCTGGTTTTAGGGTGTCTTGAACTAACGGGTCTGCACCTATCTGCTCTGGGACTACCGCAGGGTCCCCAACCTGCCCTGTCCGCCCCCAAACCATCGCTGGTCCGCTGGTTGGGTCACCATAGCTAAAGTCAGAATAAACATCTTGGTTTTCGCGTGCGCACGGCACTTGCGATGGGAGCGAGGAAGACACCAGCAAAGTCCACAGTCGCCTCCCGCGAAGATTTCGAACAAACTTCTGGAAGTCAGACGATATGCGCAAGCGCATTTATGGAGCTGGTTTCCCAGAGCTTGAAGAAGCCGAGCGGGAGGGGCGGGGGCCGCGGGAAAGAACCGGAAGTTGTGCTGAACCTTCACCTCCGCTCGGCACTGAAGGAAACGCAAGCTCCGCGAGAGAGGTTCCGACGCTGCCTGGGCTGGAGGAGACAGAATGGAGACCGCGACCGAAGGTCCGGGACTGGACCGCGGCCCGACGCTGACCTCGTCCTGGGATGCGGCGTGCGGGGCGCTGACCCAAAGCCTCCTTCTTACCCGGATTGGGCCAGATGCCCAGGACTTGAACTTCGAGCAGCTGCTGGAGCCGTCAGCTCCGGGGTGCGGCGGGCTGGGGCCGGGTGACAGCCACGCTGCCGTGGAGTGGGGAGGAGGACGGGAGCCGAGCGAGGCCGCAGGACCGACCGGGGTGGGCTGAGGGAGCGGGGCCGGGAGGTGGGCGAGGCTGCGGGCAGGGGCTGCTTGATGGGCCGAGAGGCCTGGAAATGCCGATTAAGGATCCCGATTCAGGATCCCGGAGTCAGCGTGGACTCCGCCACAGGCTCCTGTTAGAATCCTCCTCGCCCCCACTCCGAAACCAGCCAACCTTCTATTCAGGGGCACAGGAGCAGGACAAGTCTAACCATAAAGAACCACGCACAGCAGCCTAGAGAAAGACACATCGTTGTTCTTTCGTTACACACTGTGAGCGCTTTTAATTGACTGCGAATGAATTAGAGATTTGAGTAGAATGGCCACGGTCTAGGGAAGGTGGAAGGGAATGCCCTGACGCCTCAAGCCATCGATCCTTATGAAGCCCCTGTGGGTGCTGGGGAAGGTTCTTGGCCCTCAGGGCAAGAGGAAGTGAGTTCGAAGAGGTGGGTTATGGGTCTACTCAGAAAAGATCTCTGTGTGATGTTTTATCGATTTCCTTCTCAGGCCGGATCTGGTGAGTCTGAAGAGCAGCCTGAGCCCCCGAGATGAAAACCCCTGCTTCCTTTACCTGAAGTATGGGCCTAATGGGGGTGAAGAAATTCTTTCGGTTGGCATTCTGAGTTCAGCAAGAAACATGGAAGTATATGTGGGAGAGGAGTATTGTGGAACCAGTCGGGGCAAGAATGTCTGCACTGTCCTGGATGACAGGTTTGTGACTTGTCCAGGTGAAAGCGTTTATCTGCGTCAGTGTCTTTATTCTTGGCTCTTTAGCTTTTGTAGATCTTCTAGCACTGACACCAGGAGTTAGGGGAGAGAAGTTAAAAACATAGCAATAGATCACTAAGCCTTCAAAATTAAAAAGACAGGGGCAGATGAGTGGGCTTATAAATATGCAAATTTAGGACTAATTAACTGGAAGTGAATTGGTAGGGTAGAGTTTTATTAGACTAAAGCCCTGGTAAGTATTCAGCCAGCTGTGGTGGCGCATGCCTTTAAGGCAGATCTCTGTGAGTTCGAGGCCAGCCTGGTCCACAAAGCGAGTTCTAGGACAGCCAGTGCTACACAGAGAAATCCTATCTTGAAAAAAAAAAGACAAACAAAAGAAAGTATTCTTGTGTCTCTTATTTAATTCAGTGGGGTCTGTTTTACAACAGTTAGGCATTCTGAAACACTGAGTATATTCCCTTCTAGAAAGCTCCTTCTAAATGGTGTATCAATCAACTGAAGACCGCTGCATCAGCATGCTCATTAACCTCCTATAGGATGGGCCATTTCTGAGTTTTTTTCCCCTTGACTCTTTACAAGGTTCTGCCCAAATCTATCCTCAATGTAACCCAAACTCTGTGTCTCCTATTTATGTTGGAAACAATAGTCGTGTTTACGGAACTCTTAAATACGCCATGGGCTCCTTTGTTTGGTTCTCTTATGTGCAGGCACGTGGGAGGCACAGCTCCTCCACGTGTTGCTGCCCAGTCAGGAACCTCAGACTCCCTCTGCCTGCCTGGGAAAAGGGAATCCCAGGACACCTTTGTTCTTAAGTATGTATGAATGCTTACAATCATTGGCTGTTAAAAATGAATTCTTTTATTTTAGTGAACGCGAAAAGATTCTTTTGTACAAAAAATACCTAAAATTGGAACCTCCCACCCATGCTTGTAAAATAAAGGTAAGTCATCACTAAATTTTAAGATTTAAAGTTAATCGGATTGTTTTAGTTCTATACATACTTATTTTCTCTTGGTTTGGCAGTACAGTTAGTCTGACCTGGTCCCTAGGTTTAGTTCAGAAATGCTTCGTTAGCTTGTAAAGGGATATTATTTTCTGAATATAGACATTAAAGTTATCTTTAAAGTGGGGTAGCTTATTAGTTATAGAATATGTTTTATTAATATAGTAGTACTATATTTGAAACCTTGTGAAACTCTGCTAAGAACATTTTAAAAATCTTTTTATAAGACTACATAGTTCCACAAAAGGCTGAAGCAGAACTGACCGTGTATGTAAAGAATGAAGGAAAAGCTCAAAGAAGAGCCAGAAATTTCAAGGAATTTGGTCTGTTGTCTGCAGCCAGAAAAATATTCTTGAGATAAACATTAATGATGCTGTCAGTTCAGGAATAGGTACTGAGTTGGAATACTCGAGTCATGTTATAAAAACGAATTCAACTCTGTTGGCAATGATTGATTTGGCCAATGTCAGCTTTTTTAACTCTCTGGACCTACTTCATGAGAAAAATTAATGGTCCCTAGAAACCAAATTTTTGGAACTGTTTTATCTCCAAAAGTATGTGCTTATTATCCCAGAAGATGGTAAGCCTCAGTTTTCAGACAAGAAAACAACAAATGACCTCTGTTGAAGAGCACAGTTCACAGAGCTGTTTATTCCAGTCAGTCTAAACAGAGTAAACGAATAGCTTATAAAGGCATTTAAATGAAGTGATTTAATTTATCTAGTGAATATGTATTAACTGTTGATAACAGATACTGCACTAGGCATCTAGGAGTATCAGTAGAAAACTGAAGTGCTGCAGGACGATGGTGCGCACGCCTTTAATCACCTTTAATCTCAGCAGAGGCAGGCGGATCTCTGTGAGTTTGGGGCCAACCTGGTCTACAGAGCTAGTTCCAGGACAGCCAGGGCTACACAAAGAAACTCCCTTGAAAAACAAAACAAAATGGAGTGCCAGTCTCCATGTTGCTTATAATTTAGTGGAACAAGATCATCATATTTACTGATTATATATTATTTAGTATGATACACACACACACACACACACACACACACACAGAGAGAGACCCTGTCTAAAAAAACAAACAAAGATATACTGTAGTCACTGATGAAAAAGCCTTTGGGATTATACAACTTAAAGGGGACAGTAGGGACCAGTATGCTGTCACACACCTTTAATACTAACACTCAAGAACATCACAAGTTCGAGGTCAGCCTGGTCTCTGTAGTGAGTTCCAGACCATCCAGTGCTGCCCACTAAGATTCTGTCTGAAGAAAATAAAAAATAAAAATCTTAGATAAAAGAAGGGAGGTACTAACGAGCATTTCCTTAACTGTTGAGGACTGTCACGCATTTGACTCAGAGTTTATAGAGTCTGGGGTTTTATTGATCTGTGTCTTTGTGACAAGAGTCTATGTGTCTCTCAAAGTGAATGTATTTTGTAACTGTTCCATGGAAGCATGTATTAGTATGAAGAGAACTTTCAATTAGGGAATCCCTCTGGCATGTTTGAAAGCTGTGTAAATGTTGCTAATTCAGAATTCTGAGCACTTACTCAGTGATATAGTGGCTATACTGACATACAAGCCTCTATGCAAAGTCATCTTACCATTTGCCCAGGATTGCACAGGTTGTGAAATAGCAGAACTCAGATTTAAAGCCCTTTCCTTTATACCACTTATCAAATGTATTTTGGTTCAGAAACATGTACAGCCTAAACTGTCAGAGTGATGGGAGTATGAGTTAATGACCAGCACTGACCTAGCGTGCTTGTGTGAGACCCTGGTTACCATAACAAAAATGGAAAATCTATGGTGATAAAAACCAGGGGAGCTGGGTTCCAAACTTGACTTACACCCCTGAGTATCCTTCACCCCATTAGAAACTCACCCTGAGCTCCACTTTACATACTACTACTAGCTATTACTTAATTAGCTCTACTATCACAGCCCTTGTTTAGGAATTAGGTAAATGCTATATGGCCATCTGGACAGTTTTATTTTATATTGAATAATATTAAAGCCAACTGGGGAATGCTAGGATCAAGGGATTTTAGGTTTCTTTCTCTTGGTGATACAGAGGACTCAGACTCGGGGCCTTGAGCACGTCAGTCAAGTGCTGTATCAGTGCACTATCCGCCAGCCAGGTGTGGCTTAGTTTTAATTCCTTAAACTAAGTAAAGAAAGCTTTCATATTCTCTGTGGATCTTATGGCTTGGGAAGGATTTATTTAAATAGTTGGTGTTTGCCTCGTCATGCATTCGAATTTATTTTCTAACTTTGACGACTATAAAGACACTTTAAATGCACTTGGAGTTAATTTTTAGACTCTTGAATGCCCTTTCTTGTTTTGGTAATACTAAGAAGTTACCTTAAGTGATGGCTGTTTTTAATACTACTGTTATTTCCTGGAATGTTTTTGTTTCATGATAGTTGCTGTCCTTCGGTGAAAAGCAGTGTGTGCTCATCAGTAGAGTTGTGGTGCACGTGAGACCAAGGTCAGCAAATCCTTCACCAAGCTCTTCTGCTCTAGGATCACGGATAGACCTCGACAGTATCCAAACCATAATGGAGTCAATGGGATCAAAGTTATCTCCTGGAGCTCAGCAGCTGATGAATATGATTAGGTTTCAGCAACAGGCAAGTGGAAATTGATTTTATTAATTTTTAAAATGCTGGTTTGTTGGTTCAGTGGGTCAAAGGCTCACTGTATAAGCCTAATGACCTGAGTTTGATGTTGTGGAATAATCCTTTTGTACGTTGTGAAGATTTGTCACTCGGGTTGATTTAATAAAAAGCCGACTAGCCCGTAGCTAGACAGGAAGTATAGGTGGGGCAGCCAGACACAGAGGAAGCTGGGAAGAAGGAGGGTGGAGTCAGAGAGAAGGTCATCAGTCAGAGGGAGAGTTAGCAAAACCGGCTGGAGAGGTAAATGTCGTGAGCCTTGGGGCAGCACATAGATTAATAGAAGTGGGTTAATTTAAGTTCTTACATTTTTTTCGGGTTTTATTATATTAATAATATTTTTTTATTCCATGAGTTTCACTCAAAGGAAATTATTAGATAAAAGACATACACTCAAGCATAGACACATATACATAAAAATAAACAAATCTAAAAAAAAATGATCAACTATTATGGCTAGTCTTATATGTTACTGCCATAAGGAAGCCTTTAGTAGTGAAAACATTATAGCTTGTAATTATATTTTGCTATCATAGTAGTGTATATTTTAATATGTTCCTTATGAAAAGTTACAGTGAAATGATTGACAGAAGTTTAGGTTTATGTCCCAGCACTGCCACTTACTGTCTGGCTTCTGTGGGCAGGAACCTTTCACCTTGGTTTTCTTTCTAACATTGAACAGTAACAGCGTTCTTCATGGGGATGCATTGAGGATCAATGACAGAGTGCAGAGTGCCCGACTTCTAGCTACCACTCTAAAGCTCAGCGTTCATTCTTTAATATTTGCTTATTTTCCTTGCTCAGAATTGTCTTCCCATTGGAGATCAGCTTCAGTCAATGCTGGGGACCACAGGCCACAAGCATCTGATTGCACTGCAGTCCTCACCTTCTTCGGGAGTCTTAGATAAAGCGTCCTCCACACCTTTTCCTTTTAGAACTGGATTGACACCTTCAGCCATCACGGAAAATTTAAAGGCTCTTATTGATAAAAGCACACAGCCACCTGGAAAAGGAAATACCACAAACCATGATGAGTGCCACCTTGTGCCACAAAACCATTCCCTTCTTGAAAGTGATCTTAAAACTGCAGTGTCTTCTTTCTTACCGAAGAAGGCAAGTGGCAACTCAAATGTGGCCAGCTCTGAGTTGCTGCCTTTTCTCCAGAATTTATGCAGTCAGGTCAACCATCTCCGCGTGGGACATAATGCCAAGTGGCAGGAGAACAGCTGCAAGCCCCGAGAGAGCACTGCTGGGGTTTCGTAAGTATTTTATTTAAAGCAAATACTGTTGAGACTTGGTAAGCGGGAGAGTCAGATGGAGGGAAACAGATTTGCCTTGGGTGCGCTACCTGGCGAGGCGTTTCCAGCTTTTCCAGTTCATCCTTGACGCACTCACTAGGAGAAGAGTAGGATGGACTGCACCAAAGGGAGAGCCTAGAACTGGTGTTGCACGGTCTCAGGCGTTTGTGGGAGATTATAGCCATCAACCAGGGGGTGCGTTAGAAGGCTGTGGGCATGAATCTGGAGGAACTGTGAGAATTTACAAGTTTTGGCGAGGTATGCTACGCATGCCATTGTAACAAATTACCTTTGTAGCTTGCATTTGTTCCAGGCTACATTTATAGTCAAAGCCATAGTAGGATGGGAACTATTTGTAGTGTAGAAGCTCTTCTCCTCTGGCCTCAGCCCGTGCTCTGTGCAGCATCTGTTTGCTTAGGATGCCAAGTAGCATGTTCCTAATCCTCTTTATAGATACTGTTGGTCAAAATAGTGTTCTAGTCTGAAATACAGAACTCTGGTCATAGTTCAGATGAACCATTTTCCTCTACTATTTAATCTTAATTTAAAGTTTACATCTGAAAATGGTGCTTAGATTAGTTTGGAAGAAAATAATCCCCAACCACCAACATGATTACATTAGCACTTAGTATAAGTTCTACTGACAATAGCAGAATAGTTTTATTCATGTTTGTGAAGGAGTCACAGAAATAGATTGTATCAAGTCATAAAAAAGCCTTGTCAAATTTAAGAGGACTGAAATCAGAGAGAGTATTTTCTCATCCCATTCAGAAAGATAAATCATTTAACAGTAATGGAAAGACAATAGGAAAATGTCCAAAGACTTGATGATTAAACAACGCAGTTTATCTGATTGAAGAAGTCTGGGGTTTGGAGAATTGGCTCAGTTGGTGAAGTGCGTGCTGTGCAAGCATGAGGGCCTGAGTTTCAAGCCTTGTGTTTTAAACACAGAAGCCTGAGTGTATGGTGTCCACCTGTAATCCTGTTATCCTGTGCTGGGGAGACCCAGACAGGAGGACCCCTGAGGATTGCTGACTAGCTAGTCTCACTAAATCAGTGAGCTTTAGGTTCCCTGAGAGACTGTCTCAGCAAATAGAGTGACAGCCTCCTGCCCTATAAGCTCATGTATACATACACATATGCATCCACATGAACACGTGTACAACATACACATCACACACAAAAGAAGTCTCAACAAATATTTTTAAAATATATAAAGCCAAGTAAAAATGCAGAGACAAGTTTATGGGCTGTATCTAAAAAGTGAAGGCAAGGGTTTGTAGCATCATCTGTTGCCTTAGTAAAGATGGCTGTGAGGACAGTGGCACAAAGGTACTACCCAAAAACTGACCTAAGGGCTGGAGAGATGGCTCAGCAGTTAAGAACGTTTGTTGGTTTGATTCTCAGCACCCGCATGGCTTACAACCACCTGTAACTCTAGCCCCCGTAGTTCCCGTGCCCTCTCCTGACCTCTGCGGCCACTAGGCACACACGGCACATAGATATACATACAAGCAAAACACTCATACACATAATTAAAAAATTTAAGCAATGAAATAGATGGTTTGAATAGTTTTAAGCCATTAAAGACTGAATTCAAAGTCTAGTGGTAGCACAAACCTGCAGTGCTAGTGTTCAGAAAGCCAAAAGAGGATGTTCGTAAACACAGGGAAACAATGGAGAAAATAACGAAATAAAAAGGTGATTCTTTGAACGTCGTGAAAGTTGATGAACTTCTAACAAGACTAGAGAATAAGGGAGAGGATACAAGCTGCCTGTGTGAGATATAGTGGAAAATTTCACTAAGAGCCTTGGTAGTCAGGGCATGTGGAAGTAACTTCATGCTCACAATTTTAATAACTTTTTAAAAAGCCATAACCTACAGAACACACCACAAAATAGATAATGGAATGACCCTATAACTGCTAACACTATAGAATTTGTAATGGGAGGAGTGTGTTAAAGTTTGGATGTGGATGTGTCATTATCCCATCCCCTCCCCTATATTGAAGGCTTGATTTCTGCTTTATGGATTCCGTCATTGAGTCATGATTGGATCATGAGGGCACTGATGGAGTTGTACTTCGTTAGTGTTTGAAGATAATAAGAATGGAGCTTTGTTGGAGGAAGTAGGTCACTGGGGCATGACTTTGGAGAGTGTCTGATCCCAGGCCCCTCCCTAGTTCTCGTCTGTTTTCTGGCTGCCATGAGGTGAGCCCTTTGCTCTGGCACACACTCATCTCCCATAGTTTCTATCCACCCTGGGCCCACAGCAATGGGAAAGCAGGCTGTAAAACTCTGAAACCAGGAAGCAAGCGACCTGAAAATCTGAAAATATTCTCAGATACCATCACAGAGATGGAAAGCCAGCACAGAATGTTCATGGGGAAAAAATATACTGGCCTAGGTAATTCTACCCGAGAATTCTGCCAAACATGTAGAGAACACCATTTTTTTCATAATCCAGAAAATCAAGGGAATAAAAAGACTTCTTATTTTCTGAAGCTACTGTTACCCTGGAACCCCAACTAGATGCTAAATAACTTGAAGTACATAAAATATATGTAAATACATATTTAAAAATCTATAATTGTACATAGCTGACATAATAGGATCTGTGAACTGAAAATTATAAACTATTGATAGAAGAAATTTTGAGAAGGCTTAAGTCCAAAATAATGTAGAGACATGCCATGTCGATAGGTTTACTCAGCGTAGTAAAGCAACAGTACTCCCCTAATTGATTCATGTGCTTGATGTTTAAAAAGAATAAGGCAAGAGAAATCATTTCATATTTCGGGATGTGGTAGAGCTGTAGCATCAGGCACTAGCAGGCAGCGGGACACTCAGGTGGATGGGACAGAAGCACAAAGGTGGCTTGGCAGCATTGCAGTTCAGTTGAGGAAGAGCAGTCTTAAAGGTGGTGCTAAGCCATTGTGATATCAACAGGTAAAAATAAACCTCACACCTATGAAAATAATAGGCCATACAGCAAAGAGTAAACCGAAACTTTCTAATATATGGAGGAACTCCTGATTCTGAGGGAAAAATGCTTAGATACGCCATAAAAACATGATCAACAAACCAAAAATGATGTGTAGGCTCCGGCAAGATGTCAGACTTATGCCTGTGGAAGACCCTTGTAAGATGATTTAAATATAAACAGGAAGAAAATATTTCTGAATCACAAATTCAACAAGTGACTTGTTCCTAACATACAAAGAAATCACATAATTCAGTGTTTAAAACTTAAAAATGCTCTCAAGCACATGGAGAACTAGATCTCCCACAGCTCACTGCTGGGATCATAAAATGGTACAGTCACCCAAACATTTGCCAATTGGATTACTACATGCACATTATCACATGACCTGATAGACATATTCCTCGGCTTTTAGCCCAGAGAAATGAAATTTTATGACAATATAAAAATCAGTATACAATTGTTCTTGGATACTTTATTTGTTCTGCTTTGTTTTGTTTTGAGACAGGGTTTCTCTGTGTAACAGCCCTGGCTGTCCTGGAACTCACTCTGTAACCCTGGCTGGCCTTCAACTCACAGAAATCAGCTTTTCTCTGCCTCCTGAGTGCTGAGATTAAAGATGTGCACCTCTACTGCCCAGGGGAAACTTCATTTGTAATAGTTCTAAAATGGGAACACCGGGATATTTTGTAACAGGCAATTTAAGAACTGGTATTTCCATAAGCGTGGAGTGGTAATCAGCAGTTAGGCAAACAACAACCTGGATGGCTTTTGGGTGAATTATGATGAGGAACAACAGACCCATGCGGCCACGGCAGACGGTAGAGACATAATAGTAGGAGTTGGGAAAGGGATGACAGGATGAGTATCTTTGTAGTCACAGGTTCTGCGTCTTGACTGGTGGTGTTGGGATGAACACTGTGCACAGATAAAATGGCACAGAGCTCTACATACATTGTGTATAAATATTAGTGTGCTGGTTTTGATTCTACTTCATAGTTAGGAAATAATAAAACCATATGTTAATGTAAGTATGAATAAGAAGGAAATTCTTTTAAGACTTTAGTGAAAATTATATTTTAATTTGTGAAAAGCTATATTAGCTTTTGATGACTACAATCTTCTATGTGTTACCTGATAACTTGTAACTAGTCAGAACACTGAAGGCAAAGCAAGTTAGTGTCTGAAATGCATATTCATATACTAAATCCGCTGTATTAGGGCATTTTAGGAGGAGAATTTACTGCTGCCAATTCTGTGAATAATTAGAGCACAGGTTTTACTTCTCATGTACATTTGGAAAGTGCCGCTGTGTGTTCACACGAGCATAAGGATGAAAGAGTAAGATAACATCATTCTATTAGTACAAACATACTTTAGACTTTATTGAGTTCCCGGAGGAGAGAGAGCACAAGGTTTATAGGCCCCTCTGTGAGGTTCCCTGTTCTGGTGTTCACTGACTATAACAGCCCTTTCCTGAAGGCTTATAGTTTTTTTTTTTTTTTCAGATAGATTCTTATGTAGCCCAGTGTCTTAGTTACTTTTATTGCCATGACAAACACCATGTCCAAGTTCAACTTATAAAAGAAAACACTTAATTTGGAAGCTTATGGTTCCAGAGGGTTAGAGGCTATGGCCATCATGGGGAGCATGGCAGCAGGCAGGCATATCAGTGAAGCAGAAGCTGAGAGCTTACATCTGATTGAGAGCAAGCTAACTGAGAATGGCGTGGGCTTTTGAAACCTCAAAACCCACCCCCCCCCCAGTGGCACATCTCCAACAAAGTCACACCTTCTAATCCTTCCCAAACAGTTCCACTAACTATGGACCAAACATTCAAGTATATGAACCTGCAGGGGTCATTCTCATTCAAACCACCACACCTCAGCAAGTCTCTGATTGACCACAGTTTGACCATGAACTTTGATTCTCATGGTTCATTTCCCAAGTACTGAAATTACAGGTGTGTGCCACACGTTGTGTTGGTGTGTGCTTGAAGCATGTTCAGCATGTGGAAGCCAGAGGGCAGCATCAGGTGTTCTCAAAGCCATCCTCATTGTCTTTTGAGATAGGGTCTCTCACTGCAAACTAGACTGGCTAGTGAGTCGCTAAGATCCTTTTGTCTTTATTATGTACCTGGTTCTGGGATTTTAAGTTCACACTACCATGGCTGCCATGTGTATGTGAATTTATGTAGTACGTATTCATATATGAGGGTGTACATGCAAGTGTGTGTAAAATATGGGTGGAAGGGAGTGGTCAGTTTGGGGTGTCTTTCTCAATCATGTCCTACCTTGGGTTTTGAGGCAGATTTCTTGTGGTATCTGGAGCTCCCTGATTTGGCAAGGTTAGCTGGCCAGTGAGACATCATCTCTGCCTCCCCAGCATGAGGATTATAGGCACAGGCCATAGCACCAGGTTTCTTATGGAGTATGCTGAGGGTGTGAACTCAGGTCTTCACCCTTGAATCTCTTTCCAAACTGAGCCATTCCCTCAGCCCCAGCTTTCAATATTTTAATTTTAATTGTAATATTTAATTTGTATTGTAGAATCAAGGGTCTTCATGCTTGCAGGGCAGTTCTTGTAGACTGAGCTGTCTCCCTTAGCACCACACCTGATCTTAGGCAGTGCTAGGGATTAACCCAAGGCTTCTTACATGCTAGAAAGACCTCCAGCAGCACAGCCACAGCCTTGGCTTGGTCTTTGATTATCTTTGCTTTATATCGTTCTCAGGTGTCTAACTAGACAAAGCAGTTAGTAGGAGAGTGCTGTGCATTTGGCACAGCAGCCACTGTTGTGGGTTTTAGAGCTGGAATGTGCCATGGGGAGGGTAGCTGTAGAGACCACCATTGGCTAGCTCAGTTTGTTGCTTTTGTCATCATAAAGAGAAAATTGATAGACTTTACATTTTTATTTTTAGGATGGAAGAGCAGCCTGTTTGCTCCTACTTGGAAAAGGTTCTTTCTAAAAACATGGAGCTCATGGAAAAGAAGCTTATGGACCACATTGATGAGAGGATCTGTCAGCTCCAGGAGCACATAGATGCAAAAATGGCTTTGTTAGTGGACTTGCTGCGAAACCCCAACTCCCCACCCCCAGGGATACCTCTAAGACACTATGACTCCAGAGAAAGACTTTCCAATGGAGAGAGATAAGCTATCGACATACCCAATTATTGCAGATATTTATTACATATTTATTACAAAGCCCAAATCCAAAAAGGTTATAAAAATCAAGTCTTTAATGTCCTTTGAAGGATTGTTGTCTTACATGGTGACCTCAGTGCTCTTTTTAGTGCACTTGTTACTGTAGACCCGGGTCTGCACCATCAGCTACCCTGATGCAGTCGTAAGTTATTTTGCTCGCTATATTTTTCACTCTTACAGAAATGTATACTTGTATTGCTCGAGTTTTTAGGATATGTAAAGACTTCTAATGCAATTCATTGGTTTGTATTGTATATAACATATGTTTGAAGTGGATTTTTTTATTTATACAGATACCTGTGAAATATAGTCTCAGGAGTATGAAAAGTAATGCTATGATTTTTTTTTTTCCTAATTTTCGGAAAGTTGGATACCTGGGCTCTTTCCTTCGGATTACCAGTTTACACTGATGCTGTGTATCTGAGATGACTGTGTGCGGTGGTGGGGCAGTCTGGGGTAGTTTACACTGATGCTGTGTATCTGAGATGACTGTGTGCCGTGTTGGGGCAGTCTGGGGTAGTTTACACTGATGCTGTGTATCTGAGATGACTGTGTGCCGTGTTGGGGCAGTCTGGGGTAGTTTACACTGATGCTGTGTATCTGAGATGACTGTGTGCCGTGTTGGGGCAGTCTGGGGTAGTTTACACTGATGCTGTGTATCTGAGATGACTGTGTGCCGTGTTGGGGCAGTCTGGGGTAGTTTACACTGATGCTGTGTATCTGAGATGACTGTGTGCCGTGTTGGGGCAGTCTGGGGTAGTTTACACTGATGCTGTGTATCTGAGATGACTGTGTGCCGTGTTGGGGCAGTCTGGGGTAGTTTACACTGATGCTGTGTATCTGAGATGACTGTGTGCGGTGTTGGGGCAGTCTGGGGTAGTTTACACTGATGCTGTGTATCTGAGATGACTGTGTGCCGTGTTGGGGCAGTCTGGGGTAGTTTACACTGATGCTGTGTATCTGAGATGACTGTGTGCCGTGTTGGGGCAGTCTGGGGTAGTTTACACTGATGCTGTGTATCTGAGATGACTGTGTGCCGTGTTGGGGCAGTCTGGGGTAGTTTACGAGCGAGGGGCAGTGCTCTGGTTCATTGCAGTGCAGCTGTAGATTGCTTGTTTTCAATCCTATTTCGGATGTGGTGCTGCAGGTAAAATGGAAGGAAATTCTTTGCTGGAACTGACAGGTTCTTCTCCCAGACCCCTTTTCTAGCATGTATGATGTGTGACATTCTGAGAATCTAAAATGAGGATTAAGATGTATGAATCTAGGAGTTTTCAATCACCAGGCTGAATTTTCAGAACTTAACTGTTACATCCATGGTGGTAATGCAGCTGCACCCAAACGCATCTGCTCTTAAGACCACCTGAAAGTAAATAGAACCCTGTTTGCTAATTTGCTTATGTTGGGGTTTTTTACTTCTTTTCTTCCTTCCTTTTTTTTTTCTTCAAGAAAAGAATATTGAATACTTATCCATTGTTTTGGCAAACTGTTCTTTTAAATGCCTGTTGTTTCTCGATCATACGGCAGAGGTGACATAGCATATGGGGCACAGAACACTTTTGCTGGTCTTGGGCCATCGTTGGTGGGATAGTCATACCATGTGTAGATTAAGGTGTCACCTTCTGAGCTCACTTATGGCTCCAGTTAGTGCTTTTGCAGTTTTTGGCGGTCGTGGTTCCTCCTGAATTTACAGAATACCTGCATGACTTGGTAGTGCCCTCAGTGCCCTCATTGGCTGGGCTCCCCATGTCTGTAAGACAGGACTATAGCCCTAACTGAAGGCTTTGAAACCATCTTCATCTTAGCCTGACACACCTTTCCAGCCTCATCTCCACTGCAAATCCCTGCGTTCCCATCCCTGATCCACAAAGGGCCTGACCAGGGAGCAGGCAGGAGCCAGTGAGATCTTACAGGAAAGCAAGAAGGGTGAAAGTTGGAAACACATCTCATAAAGGATACAGTGTGTGTCATAGAGTAACATGAGCCCTGAAAAATTACAACCTCTCCAGGAAGTCCTGTGTTGGGGGTGAGAATAGCCTGGAGCCTACTAGAACACCTCCACACCTTCCCGTCAGAAAAGATGGCTCATAGTTCTGATAAGTTATTTCTTTTTCTTTGGATTTTTGAGACACGGTTTCTCTGTAGCTTTGGAACCTGTCCTGGAACTAGCTCTTGTAGACCAGGCTGGCCTTGAACTCACAGAGATTTACCTGCCTCTGCCTCCTGAGTGCTGGGATTAAAGGTGTGCGCGATCACCACCCAAACCTGATGAGTTATTTCACAGCTCAGTCTACATATGCATATATATACTTGTCTGACTTTTGTTTTTTCTTTTCTGTGGATTGTAACACTGCTATAGGAAAATGGGGAGAAAGGACCATTCCCCTGACCTCCATGTTCCCTTAGTTCTGATGAAAACTGTAAGCAAAACCCATTTCCTTTTTCTTCTCTTAATATATATATATTGGTAGAAGTGGCTGGTAACAGAACCTCCAGATTCAGGTAACAGCTTGATATGTTTATGGGATAGGATGTTTATGGCAAGTGAATATCACGCTTGATCTGTGCTGTGCACCCTGCCATGACAAAGAAATGAAATATTCCCTATCAAGTGGCCCTAGTGAAAATAGTTTAAAATAAGACCACCAAGAAGGGCCTGTGCGTAAGGGCTCGAGGAGTCCTCACTGCCTCTGTGTGTACTTTTGCTCTGTAATAAAACCGCCCTCTTTTCTTTTCTACTCTCTAAATTCTTTCTCTGACAGTGATAAGAATCTGCCAGCACTTAGTAGAGCTAGGAGGTTAGTAGAGCTAGGAGGTCTTCTCTGAGACCTTCCTGTGATTGGCCACCAGCAGCTCTTAACTGCCTGTGGTCTCCTGTCTTATCTCTGATGACCTTGGGAGACATTTAAACGTCTTCACACCAGCTGCCCTTTCCATCTCCTGTAAGGACCCTTCTCCATCTCTGTGTCTTGTGTGTACCTCTTTGAAGCCTGAATCTTATTTAGCTTGGTCTTTACCAGCCATGACTTTCCTTCCTGAACTGATTCTCTGGCCTATGCACCCAAATCTTCTCTTGCAGAGCCCAGTATTGTAGAACAGGAGGTGCTCAAGGAAGTCCTCTGTGAGATGAACTGGATTTTCTGCACCTCACTGTACGTGTTTGTGCTGTGTGTTTGTGCTGCCTGAGTTTATAGATGTTTCTCAGATCCTGTCCCTGCTAGATTAGGCCTGAGATGCAGAACTCACGTCCTGGTCCTGACATACCTGGAGCTACTTCACTGCTCTGTGTGACTGGGGACGAGATAAGACTAAGCAGACAGAAGGGAGCGTTCCCTCTAAAGTGTGGTTGCAGCCTCTTACTACCTAAAAATCAAGAATTCCAGGACAGTCACCACTAATATTTGCTCTAAAGCCTGCCAACATATAGGCAATATTTCTTTTATATAGAAACATCCTCAAAAAAGAAAGTTAAAAAGCTGGGCATGATGGTGCACACCTTTAATCCCAGCACTCAGAGTCCAAGACAGGCTGATCTCTGAGTTGGAGGCTAGCCTGGTCTACATAGCAAGTTCTAGGCTAGCCAAACCTACCTACATAGTGAGACCCTTATTGAAAAAAACTGTAAAAGAATGTTAAGGTAGCAATAAACCAAGTTTAAGGCCTGAGTGTACATGGCTTTGAGGATGCCCTTAATGTTCTCCTAGATGTTTTCTGGGAATCCCACTAACCAAACAGCTTTTGTTCACAGTGAATATACCCCAAATTCCTGCCCCCCACCCCTGTGGTCTAGTGTGTTACAGTCCCTGCCCAGCATACCTCAGGAGTCTTCCTGTGACCACATTTACACTTAACAACCCTCTCAAGATACAACTGAAAATCAACAAAATCCTATGTTTGACTGTTAGGCAAAAGTGAAGGATGCTCTCCCTTAATCCCATCTCTCCACCTTTCCACCTCCTGAAGTCCGTAGTCTTTCTTACTTTCCTTCATTAGAAAATAAACAGAAAGCTCAAGAAAAAAAATAAAATAAGAACAAATAAAATCGCATAGGACAAAACAAATGAATATATTGTATGGAAAAATCTATCTTCAATTTTAAAAGTAAAGTTTTAAGTACAATACAGTTTAAAAAAAGAATGGAAGAAAAAAGAAAAAGGAATCCCATGTAACAAAATTCAATCAGAATTTAGCCCAGAAAAACTCATCTCAGAGGAATCATTTTTCTCTTTGGGCTTAGGAAGTTCCAGTCTTAAACATAATTTTAAAGTACTTCTAAAAATTTAGGCATTCAGCAAAATGATATCCCATCATCAAAATTGTTTGCATGCCCCCTTTTTATGTTCTACTCTAATTCTCCTGCTTATATTACAACATAGTATTTTTGGCTGAAGTCTCAAAATGAGCAAAAAACATTAGACTAAAGAACATTCGTAACCATCAGCACCATCATGGGAAGGTATAAGATTATTTTTATTATTGTGCGTTTATACAAAGAACATGAAACCCATATTAAAGAGTAAATAAGAGTATAAACATAACAGAAATTAATTTGAAAAAATAAAATATTCTACTAAAAAAGAAATAATGATTGTGAAGCTTTGGAGCTCCTCCCCAGCCATGTCAGAGTTCTTTGTTGGTGTCACAAAAACAAGTTGGCAGGGTGCCAGAATCTGTATAGATGCTATCCTCATCACAGCCCTGGAGAATACAAGAAGACTCCGCAGTAATGGGTTTGACCCGGATGATCTTTTCTTTTCTTTTCTTTTTTTTTTTAATTTATTTATTATGTATTCAATATTCTGTCTGTGTGTATGCTGCAGGCCAAAAGAGGGCACCAAACCCCATTACAGATGGTTGTGAGCCACCATGTGGTTGCTGGGAATTGAACTCAGGACCTTTGGAAGAGTAGGCAATGCTCTTAACCTCTGAGCCATCTCTCCAGCCCCGGATGCTCTTTTCTTGAGTGCCAGAAAGGGAAAGGGGGCTCAGCCAGGGTCCTGTTAAATACTGAAGGCACACTCCCTGGTGACAGAAAGGAATGCTGGCACACATGTGCCTGCACACACACACACACACACACACACACACACACACACACACTCCAGCTGAGAACAGTGGACTCATAAGCTCTCAACTCCAAGCTTGAAGGAAAACCCTCAAGTTTCTGTCCCCATCTGTCCCCATCCTCTCAGACCTGACAGTGGTCCTTGACTTTCCCTACAAGAAGCCACTGTAGAGGGCCCAGTGTCCCATTACAGAAGTGTTCTTCATTCCTACTAGCATGACTTACTTGACTTCCTTGACTGCCATCAAGACAAGAAAATAGGCAGT